GGACAGCTGGGGTGCTTCCCTGACAGGAAGGAGGACCAAGTTCGCATGTCAGTGGGCTGACCACGGGGAGATGTCACCGAGGTCTGGCAGGCAGGAGCCAGTTGAGGACCTCAGCAGCCGCTGGGCAGTAATGAACGTTGTGGCTGAGATCACCCCCGGTGCTAAGAACAAAAAGGGGGACCCAGACCCAAAGTCCACAGAGCACCACCACGTGAGAGGCTGGGGAGGGAGCCTAAAGGAGGCTGAAGAGGAGGCCCAGAGCCGCAGGGTCACGTCGCAAAGGAAAACAGGGCACCTCTGGCCCCAGGGGAGCAAAGTCTCTCAAAAGGGCAGAGAGGCCCGCAGTCTTGGACGCTGGTGTGGACAGATGGATGGATGGACAGTAAGGCCTCTGTGTGACCACTGGGCGCAGTGGATGGAGGCCCCAGGGGCTCACTGGGGGTGGGGAAGGGAGCAGAGGTGGCTGAAGTATAAACAAGGTGAGTGGAAGGGACTCACTGGAGAGGGAGAGGGGGTCACAGAAGAGAGAGCGGGATGACAGATTCAGGGTGTTTTGTTTCCGTTCGGTAGAAGGAGCTGCAGAGGTGCAGATGGGGGCACAGCGAGGGCCCCAAGATGGCGAGGAACAGGTTAGAGGTGGAGAAAGTCCTAGAGGAAGACGCCACAGGGCGAGGTTGTGGCGGGCAGGTGCATGTGTAACTAGGTAGCAGGACCCCAGCCATTCCTGGCCTGTCTCCTCCCATCCAAGGCTCTCTCCAGCGGCCCCCCCTATCTGGACGTCAGACTGAGGGCCCTGGCGGAGGTGTGGAGGATGGACAGCGGCCATCATTAGCGCCTGTCCGCCGGCAGTGTGGCCTCCAGGGGGCAGCAGAGCGAAGGCAGCGCTAGAGGAAGGAGGGAGATGGTGATTTGCAAAGAGCTGACAGGGGCAGGGGGCTGAGGGTGGCAGCATCCAAGGTCAAGGGACAAAGGACACCCAGAGTTGCCTGCAAGGCACAGGAGGCTGTGAGCAGGCAGAAGCCCGAGAGGGGCACTGCAGAGATGGGTGATGCCTGGAGACAGTGATTGACACCTGGGTGTGGTCACGGAGTGGACCGCTGAAGCCTAGTGGGTTGACACCTGAGAGGTCAGGGAGTGGTGGGCGTTGCAGTCACCCAGAAAACAGCACGGAGGGAGTTGGCCCTCCATGAGGGGGGTGTCTCAGAAGACGGCTGGCTGGGGTACACTCCATGGCTGGGGCCCCCTACGCTGATGGTGGAGACATGAGACCCCGTCTACAGTGCTCACAGACGGGGGAGCAAGAGTAGACGGGAGTTCTCAGAGAAGAACCAAGTCTTAGCAGGAGGGGACAAAACCATCCTTCAGGGGACAGTTTGGTCCACAGGGGTCAGGAGAGCTGGGGAAGAAGGTCTCAAAAGGGTGATCTTTCAAAAAACATTTATTGAGCAGCCATATTGGCTAGGTCCTGGGGCAGGCCTGGTGGGGGGCGGGGGAGCGGCGTGGGTGCTACCCTAACTACAAGGGAGGAGACCTCAGAACACAGGAGGGCACAAAGGGCCAGAAAGCTTCTTTCTTGGGCCGGGAGACACAGGGGTGTGAGGAAGAGGGGACCCAGGGGCGTGAGAAACAGCTGTGAATCTCAGCCTTCCTCTCTGCCTGTGGGGACCCACATTCCCCCCCACCCCCAGAGCTCCCTGTAGTCATTCATGACTGTTGACTCACTGACCACAGTTTATTGAGCATCTACTACCTGCAGGTCCAGAAAGAACGTGGCTGCACCTGGAAGAGATGCTGGGTCCAGGTCAGGGGCCCCAGTAACATGAAGATGGGGGCCACAGCAGGAAAGGACAGGTGCCGCTCTCAGGCTCTTGCCAAAGTGGGGTCTGGGCTGGTGAGGGCTGCTCTATAGAGTCAGGCTTAGGGATTCCCCTGGGGGGCTCTTCTAGAATCCCCAGGGGGATCTCCCACCCCAAGATTCTGGGTTAACTCCCTCGCCCCCTCAGCCCCCCTGATCGAGGTGTGGAGCAGGGCAGTCGTTGAGGGAAGGGAAAAGAAGTGGTGGATCCACTGGGAGACTTGGGAAATTCGTGGTGGGCGGCCTCGGCGGCGGGGCAAGCGGGTGGCCCTTTGGAGGGCAAGACCCTCCCGAGGTGGGGCGGCATGGCTGGGAGGCCCCATGGAGGAGAGGCCCAGGGAGAGGGTGTGTGTATATGAGGGGACGTCGTTTCTTTGGATGGGAAAGCGGGAAGCCCGGCGCAGGCAGCGCCCTGCTCTGCGCCTTGGGAATGAGATCCCACGGTGGATGGCCTCGATGGGTTCCAGGTGGCCGGCGCTCAGGCTGGGAGGCCATGCCTCGGGGACTTTGACTTGCTCAGGAGGATGGTAGGGAGGCCCGGCTGGCAGGCTGCACACCTTGGGAGGCCCAGCTGGCAGGCTGCACACGTCGTGAGGCAGATGGGAGGCCTGGTGGAAGTAGGGTGCTCAGCAGGGTGGGCTGTCGAGGAGAGTGGTGCTGCCCCACAGGCTCAGTGCACTTTCCAACACAAATGGCAGACTGAGGGTTGGAAGGGAATTCAGGGCCACCCAGACAGCCTTGGTTAGCACATGCCAGGAATCGGAGGGTTAGTGCCCATCAGGCCTCATGTCCCCTGAGCGGTGGCTTTTTGCTTTGGTGGAGTCAAAACTTGCTCGTGTGGCCCCTGTAGGTGTGGCCTCAGGAGCCCTAGTGGCGTGTGGGGTTACGAGCTGGGCTGCTAACCACGAGGTCAGCAGTTCAAACCCAGCAGCCGCTCCACAGGAGAAAGACGAGGCAGTTTACTCCCATAAAGAGTTCCAGTCTCGGAATCCCAAAGAGGCAGTTCTACCTTGCCCTATGGGTTTGCTGCAAGTCAGAAACAACTCGGTGGAAGTAAGTTTGAGTGTGTTTTTTAAGGTTCAGCCGCTGTGACCTCACACCTCTTCACAGGCCCTCACTAGCCGAGGCGACCCAGGGAAAGGCTGTTTGTCCAGCCCTCCCTGAGAACTCAGGGAGCAGAAGAGCAGAGGAGGCTCCAGACTCACATACGAAGTAACCCAGAAAGGAGACCGGCCTGTGGAAGGAGACTGCCGGCACGGCTGAACATGACACCTAGCTCCAGCTCCTGCCCTAGTGTGGTGGGAGGGCCGGGGCGGGGTGGGGTCCGGGCACTCAGCTGCCCCATGGAGGCTGTCCCCAGCACAGCTCAGGATTCACTGCCTTGTGGGGAAACTCCCCAGGTGCAGGCGAGTCTGAGAGTCACCTACTGAGGCTGTTCTCATGGGGACCTGGGGGTGGGGGTGGGGGCAGGGCCACTCACCGAGTTCTCGGCATCTGAGTCTTCCGAGCTACTGATCACCACGACTCGCTCCTCTGAAACAGGCAGGGAGACATCGCTGTTAGGCCCTGCTGGGGGGCACCGAACAAACCAGAGGATGGTCCTGCAGGTGGTGGGTGGGACATCTGCCTCAGATGTGAGGCTGTATCTGCCTCTTGTGCACCCAGGGATTATTCGCAAGTGAGGGTCCGTTTCTTGCTGTTGATGTTTGATGAATGGTGGTTGGCCCTAACCCCATATTTGCAGGAGGCAGGACAAACGCCCCTTGGTTTGGAACCCTTTGCAACCCACAAAGGCTGCTTCCAATTCACAAGCCTGTGAGCTGCTAATATCTATAGCAGCGGTTCTCAACCGGTGGGTCGGGACCCCTTTGGGGGGTTGAACGACCCTTTCACAGGGGTCGCCTGATTCATAACAGTAGCAAAAGTACAGTGATGAAGTAGTGACGAGAATAATTTTATGATTGGAGGGTCACCCCCGCATGAGGAACTGTATGAAAGGGTCGCAGCATGAGGAAGGTTGAGAACCACTGATCTAGAGCCTGTTAATCCAGACCCTTTGGTAACCAACAGCACTTGGGAGGCAGGAGTCAGGGTTAGCTCAGAGGCCCAGTCTGGGGTCAGAGGCAGAGGCAGTGTGGAACCAGGCCAGGCCTCCTCCTGGGGCTGTGGATCAAGGGCAAAGGGTGAGGCAGATTCAGGAACCAGAGTTCATTCTGGAGTACCAATTCTCTGGGCCTCTCTCACCTCCTACTCATGAAGCCATGATAGACAGAGAGAGGTGCAGGGTGGCGTGGGTGGGAAATACCTGGGGAAACGAGACATTTATTAGGGATCCCCGCCCTAGCGGCTGGGTGCTGTGAGACTGTGCGGGGGTGGGGGTGGGGGGGGAAGGGGCCACAGAACCATGGCACGCCCCCCACATGTGGATCCCAGTGGAGCCTGTGGCAAACCTCTTGGATTCCAGCCCTGTGAGCTCCCTTTGCTCTGCAGCAGCTCAGAGTAGGGCAGGCAGGGTTGGTTTGGGGCTCCCCAGGTGGGGGCCAAGATGCAGAACAGGGTTATCGTCCCCCGAGGTTGCTCCCCCACTGCCCTACCTGCTTCCCCTGGCTGGTCGGCCTCATGGTTGTTGGGCAGGAAGACTTCACGTTCAACGGTGGGGCTCCTGGGGCTGGAGGGCCCATCCGAGTGGGGTGCTGAGACTGCCGTGGAGGTCCTGTGCCTGGGCTGCTCCGGGGGCACCTCTTTCCCTTCCTCGGACTCCATCTTGATGACTTTCCTGGGGCTCTCGGTCTGGCAGGACTTCCTCTTCGGGGCTGTGGGTGAGCTGGAGACCTCCTGAGCAGTAGAGAGGGGACGGGGAGGGCAGGGGTGGTGGAAGTGGGGGTCAGATGCCTTCAGGGCACTGAGCTCATGCAGAAGGCAGGGCAGAGGGTGGGGTCTCTGGGCTCCTGCCTACCCTCTGTCCACCATGACCCTCCCGCCTCCGTCTCAGCATGGACAGCCCTCCCATGCTTCCCTGCACTCTGGTCCCAGCTGCTGACCACCAGCTGGCCTCTGACGGTCATTCGTGTCCCAGCACATGCTGAGCGGGAGCTTGCCGAGAGTGTGGTCAAGAGCGAGGGACAGAATAGGAACAAGTCAGTGGCATCCAGCCATGCCCACTCTGAGCCACCCTATCGGGTGGGACAGAACTGCTCCTTCAGGTGCCTGAGACTGAGAATCTTGACGGCCTCCTCCTCCTCCTCCTCCCGAGGAGCAGCTGATGGGTTTTGAACCGCTAGCCTTGTAGGTAGCAGCCTAACCCTCAACCCACTGAGCCACCTGGGCTCCCTGGGAGAAGATGCACTCACCCTCCACCATCAAGTTGATGCTGACTCATGGTGACCACACCAGACAGAGCAGAACTGCCCCTTTGCGCTCCGGAGACTTTGAATCTTTACGGGAAGAGGAAGCCTCATCTTTCTCCCAGGGAGGGACTGGTGGACACAAACTCACACCAACGTCAGCTGCTTAACGAGCAGTCCTCACTCACGGACCGGATCGAGACCTGGAGTCTCATCCCAGCGGCGCGTGGTGCGTCCCTGCTAGGACCTGGGGCCCCAAAGCTTTTCTACAGCCCTGCTCTCGAGTCGGGGCTGGGGGCCCACGCGGATGGTGACACGTTGCTATTCTGGGGTCGCAGCAGCTTTGGCGATTCTGTCCCTGGAATGTCGAGCCTCGGTCGGGGCAGTCACACTCGCTGCCATGGAGGTGAGTGTGACTCACATCAGCCCTGTAGGGCAGGGTGGAACTGCCTGAGTGGGTTTCCGACCGTCCCCGATGACAGGAGTACAAAGCCGTGTCTTTCTCCTGAGGAGGGGCTGCAGTTAGTAGCCCAGTGTGTGACCCACAATGCCATCACCGTCATAAACTTGAACGTGCTCAAATAGGTGACTTTAACTAAGGGGTCTGCCGCAGGTGAGAGGGAGGAGGTAGTGCTGTGTGGGGAAAGGCTGGAGTCCAGCAGCCTCACCGTTGCCGTGGTAACCATTGTATAGGGAGGGTAATACGAAGACTCCCCCAGCCGGGGCTCAGAGTGGCCCGAGGGCAAGACTAGTTGCCCTTCCCCGCTGGGTTCCCCTGCCCCACACTTGTCTAGGACCTGCGTAAATCCACGAGGGGGCTCTCAGGAGGGAGGGGGTGGTGACGGCCCATGGAAGTTCACCTCTCTGAGGGAGGGGTCTTTGATGGAGAATGCGAACAGGGGCACAGGGTGCGCCCCGGGCTCTTGCTGTACCACGGCCATCGGCTGGGCCTCGGCCTGCCTCAGGGCCTGCTCCTGAGCCTGCTGCTCCACCACTGCTGTCTGCAAAGAGAGAAACAGCAGCGTCAGAAAGGAGCAGAGGGCCCCCCCGTACCAGGAGCTCACCCAGCCCCAGGCACAGGCTGCCTCCCCATCGAGGGTCCTCCCCAAATCTCCCATCTTGTCTCCTCCTTCTGACCCAGCGATGCTGGGGTGTGTGTGTGTGTGTGTGTGTGCGCGCGCTTCAATTGGTGCATGCCCTGAGAGGACTTGAAAATCACACTGCCCAACTCCTTCTGAAGGCCAATAAGCCTGCTTACACACCTCCAGGGACAAAAGGCTCCCTCCTGAGAAGTAGCGGTGTCTACAGTTGCAAACTTCCAACTGAGAAAATCCTTCCTGTGTGCTGAAATCAGCCTCCCTGGGACCCTAACTCTGCCTGGGTCAGAAGGGCTGTCACTCTAGCTGGGTCCCTTGCTTAGCACACGTTGGGCCTCAGTCTCCCTTTGTAAAGCGGGAGTAATGATCATATTTACGTCATAGGAATGAATGAATTAAATGCACTAGTGTTAGTCAGCAATTATATCGGTGCTATATAATCATTGCAGTGTATGTGACCAACCTGTGCCATGCCTGGCAAGGTGACTCCTCAGAAAGTTTACCATGGGAAAAAAAAAAAAAAGAAAGTTTACCATGGGCTCAGCAATTCTACTCCTAGCATGGGCCCCGAGATGAAAACTGGCATCCTTGGACACAAATGTTCACGGCAGAGCTAGTCAGCACAGCCCACAGGTGGAAACCACCCACGTGTCTGTCCACCAACAGATGAACGGGGGAACAGGATGGGATCTATATGAGGGGGATTCTAAAAGTTGTTGAGAAAAGTGAATGAAAAGATTGTGAAACTGTTTCGCATGAACTCTTTTGAAGGCCCCTCACACACACAGATGAGCGTTTGCTGGGAAACGTACTGCTGGGGACCATAGTTGGTCAGGGCTCCCAGCAACCTGCGCACAGCAGAGTGAACCGCTCCGTCCGCACCATGGTTATACGTCAGGCCTTTGTGGCAGCCATGCTGTCAATCATCTCTTGAAGGGGTTCTTCTTTGTCATTGTCCCTCTACCGGGCATGATGTCCTTCCCCAGGGACTGGTCTCTCCTGACAACATGTCCAAAACACGTGAGATGAAGTCTAGCTATCTTCACTTCTTAGGAGCGTTCTGGCCATACTTCTTCTAAGACAGATGTGTTTGTCCTCCCGGAAGTCCACGATACTTCCAATATTCTTTGCCAGCGCCACAATTCAAATGCATCGGTTCTTCTTCAGCCTTCCTTACTCCGTGTGCAACTTTCACAGGCCCATGAGGTGATGGAAAACACCCTGGCTTGGGCCAGGCGCACCTTAGTCCTCAAAGTGACTGTTGGCTAGTCAGCGCTGAAGAGGATGAAGTATGAATGCATGCTATGAGAAGGACAACCCTGAAAAAATGCTAAATGAAAGAAGCCAGGGTACAAAAGGCCAAAGATTATATAATCCCATTTATGGAAATTAACCAGACTGGGCAAACCCATACAAATAGATGATTAGCAGATTAGTGGCTACCAGGAGCTGGGGCAGGGGAATGGGGAGTGACAATTAAGTGGGCACCAAGTGTCCTTTGGGGGGATAGAAATGCCCTGGAACCCACAAGGACCTCCATATAACCTCCTCTCTGCGGGATGGACAACAGAAGGGTGGGTGAAGGGAGATGCCAGGCAGTGTAAGAT